TCCAAATATATTGAGTGCACCACACTTAAAGTCTTTGGTGACCAAAAATTTCTATGGATATTGGTGCCTTATCTCCTAATATCTCCTTGTTGTCTATAATGATAAAAGAAAATATACCACTGGCAACAATCCCTTGTACACTAAACATGTATTAATTTTATTGTAAATTATCTATGATAGAATCAGATCTGAAGTATTGTATGTGGAAATTCTAAAAGACAAAAACATCCAACAGAGTCTATTTCTATTTATTTATACATCTTTTAATATATATAAAATTACTTTATGATTGGTCTTTTGTATAAGCAGAATTTTACAGTACCTTTTATTTTATGCTTAAAAATCCTTTTCCATATCCACCCAACACACTTGTTTTCATGATTGCCTATTGTATGCAGCGTTACTATTTTGTTATTTAATTTGCCTCTATTATTGCAAATTTAGATTCTTTCCAGTTATAGATAATATGTATAATAATGCTCTGAGAATATCCCTTTACTTAGAGATATTTTCCAATAATTTAATTTTTCTTCCTGAATTATTTCCTTAAGATACATTTCCAAAAATAGTGTATTAGATTGTTTGGCATTTGATATGCATCATCAACTATTTTCCACAAAAAGTGCTGCCTATTTCCAAAGCCTAAAATACTAAATGGACAAAATTGCTTTCCTGATGCCCTGCCAATACTATCATGATGACTTTCCATTAGTGCATGCAAGAAAACTCAGATTGATTTCTTATTGTACTGGTGAGTCTGGAGATATTTGGAAACCCCTCTTTACTAATGTGAGACACAGGACATGAGCCCATAGGCCATGCCCCTAACACCAGGGCTGAGTTCACAGGGACCAGAACTCACTGCAGCCCCCTAAGCACCTCCACTGAGATGAGGTGTCTCCTCACACCTGCCTTCTTCCTTCTTCCTGTCCCTGGACTGCTGAACTGAGAACAGACCCAGACAGGTGACAAGAGAACAGTGGGCACCAAAAACCTTAACATGTTTTCTACTATCTGAAAGCGGCCTATAAATTTTTGGTTTTCTACAGGGAAGAGGAGAGGATGGCATCACCTTCCAGCCCTGGACAACTTGCCTAAAGAGAAGAGGGGGAAAGCTCTCACTTGGGCTTCATCTCCCTGAGGAAACACACATATGGTTTTTGGTGGTCATAAAGATAAAGAGAATCACACTAATACAAAGGGAAGAAAGAGTTCTAGAATATATTCTGAACCAAATGAATTGCTTTATAAATTATAAATGATATCAGCTCCTAACCAGGACATAGCATTACTACTAAAATACAAGAAGGGTCTTTATTCAGATGTAAGTTTCTAAAGAGAGTCCTCTAAGTCCCACAATCTGTACTCTGACAATTATATGAATTAAGGGACAAAGAAGGGGTTATCGATAATAGTCAATTGGGGTATGTTCTCTACCTTTCAATGTGTCTTGAATGTTTCAAATGGTACTATTGTCTCCTTGGCTAGAGCTGGACAGACATCCCCCCATATTTCCCCTTCCCCCCGAATCTTTGTTGCCTTCCTCGAAAAACATTTAAAACAAACAAGCCCCTTTCTCTTCCCATAGTCAGTACAAGCAATATTAATGGGTATCTACCTGTGATAAGCACAACAGTCTCATTTTACCTGACTTGAAAGAGTCATCTGTACTGTCAAGCCCAATTAACTTGTCTTACTGTCACATAAAGAAGGAAGGTTACCGAAAGGCCACATCTTGTCCTATATCTTGGCTGCTCTGGTACAATGGCATGATCAAAGCCCATCAAAGCATCAGGCCAACGAAGGCAGACCTGGCTGTTTTAGGATACTGGCATAGTGCCACACACAGAAACCTGTGGGTTCTTACTGAAAGGCTCAGACGCCAAGACAGGATTTTATGTGTTCAGGCCTCTCAGAGGTTGAGAGAAGCCCTGGGCCACTTCCCAATTTTATAACATGGTTATAAATAATTGTGGTATACTTTAAATGTTTATGGTTAATAAATTAATGCCTTTAATACAAAAGCAATGCAATATAATTGGGCTTTTCATAAGATAATTATAGGATTTATAAAACATTTTAAAGTACACTATAGGTAGGATGCCTATAATGGGCCAGAAGCTTAAATTTGAATGAAGATCATCTGTCAATCAAACACTTGCTTTAAGGAAAGAACCAAAAGCCCACATTTGAAGCCTTGAATGAATGGGAAGACTGGCACCCCCTAAAACAGATCCTCGATGTGAAGATTTCAAGCAGATCACAAAATTCTAATGACTTATCTGGTTCATAGAACCTGTCAGTGCTAAGGATCCTTTAGATACTAGAATATTTGTTAGTATGTTTGATTCTGTTTCATCAATTTCAAATACTGGTAGGAAATAAACAAAGAAAGTCAATTACTTATTTGCCTGTTTTCAGCAAAGCTGGACTCTTAAGTCCCCCTAGATGTTTAAATACATATATAAGTATAATAACTATGTAATATATAATAAATGCAACTTTTCTGAAATCTCTCATACACACACTCACACACACAAACATTTTGACTACTCGTTTCTGATGAGTACTAGTCATGATTTGGATTTTAAAACTACAACAACTGAAAGTATCTCTTTTAAATAAAGATCTATTCTACTGTCTTGAAGCAGTTTGTAAATGTAAGTTCAAGGGAGTAGTTGGGTGAAATGGGTAAAGCAGGTCAATTGTATAGTGATGGATGGAAACTACATTTTTGATGGTGACCATGATATTATGTATACAGAATTTTAATTATAATATACTCTTGAAACTTATCAAATGTTAGAAATCAATGTCACCTCTATACAAATGTTTTAAGAGAGAGAGAGGAGGAGAAAGAGAGAGTGTGCAATACTCAGGAAGGAAGAAAAGTCAGTAAGAGATGAACCTGGCATTATTATGAGTCACGTTGGCTGAGTAAGAAGGCCTCTGGGTCTGTTACAGCTCTAGAGAATTTTGTCCAGAGTCTCTCAGTGCTCCTTGAGCTGATGGTCCTCAGCTCAGGAGCCATTAGTGCACATAGTAAAGAAAAGGAACAAAAGGTTGGCAGGAGCTGAGCACAGGACACATCACTGTGACTGTCTCATTTCCTTGCCTCTTTCCAGGTTAGTAGGCACAGGTGTTCCAAGTAAGTGCCAATACTAAGGTATCCATTGCTGGTGGGTTTAGCAATTTTTGCACAAAAGAGAGACTTATACCTTAACTAGTAGATCTGTTGAGCAAATTGTTTCAAGAATTTCTTTTGATATCACTGTCTACTCTGGTAGGAGGATTATGTCCCCCACAAAGATGTCCAAATTCTAAAACCTGAAACCCATGGTGAATATGTTGCTTTATAGGGCAAAGGGATATTTAAGTTGTAGATGGAAGTAAGGATGTTAAGTCTCTGGTTTTTAAAACAGATTTCCTGGATTATTCAGGAGGGTCCAATATAACTACGAGGGTTCTTATAAATAGAAAAAGAAATCAGTAGAATTGGTCAGAGTGAGGCAGCATCAGAATGACTGGATCTACTTTTGCTGTGTTTGGAGAGAAGGCAGAGGACCTGGAGCCAAGTAATATGGGCAGTCTCTAGAATTTGCAAAAAGAAGAGAAACAGATTCTCTCTTAGAGCCTTCAGAAAAAAACACAGCCTTACCAATACCTTGATATTCATCTAGTGTCACCCTTATTGAACATCTGTTGTACAGAATTGCAAAATAATTAAATTTGCTTTGTTTCAAGCTAGTAAGTTTGTGGTAATTTGTTACTGCAGTCCTGGAAGCCTCATACGCCTACTTTGAAATTCCAGATGCCATTCCTCTCATACACTAAGCAGTTCATTGGATGAGGAAAACCAGGACCATGATTATTTAGTGGCAGGTGCACATGTACCATTTCTCCCTGGCCATGAGGACTATTTGTGTAACTCGATTCTTCCACTGTCAAATAGAGAAACTGATCAACCTCACAGCAAAGTATACTTGCCTCTCCTGACTTTCCAACAAAAGCCCTCCTCACTGGTTCCTAAATTGATTTTGTTTTTCTTTCCCCACAGAGCATAGTTAATAAAAGGCATTCACATGCATGACACACCTTGTTGGGAGTACTCAGTTGGGCTCACAGCCCTGTGACAGTGCCCTGACGCTAGTTGTGTTCCTTTATTTCTTATTCAGGATAGGGGACACAGTGAGAGGTGAGTTTTTATAGACACATCCATTTTGGTTTAAGTAAAATATAAACCCATGCAGAACAAATTCTCAAAACCTGTATTCTAAGACAGAAAGGAAATGGCAGTTTAGGTCAGTGAAGAAGTGGGCTTATTTTCCTATCCTATTTGATTTTTTCTGGGTGCAGTTTTGGTTTATTGAACTCACTAATATTTAACAGTGAGAACTGTTGAATATTATCTCTGAAGGGGATAAGGATATCATTCATTAAATCATTGTTGGCTTTTCTGTGAGACCGTAGAATGATCTCATGCTTTAGCACAAGAAACTGATGGCAAGTCTAAGAAAGCTTTTGCATCACATCCTGTCCTTGGGAAATAAGATACTTTGAGATTTGAGTTGGAAAACCCTAAATGCCCTTTGCTCTTACTAAATGCTACATATTATTAGTCTCTTTAGCATTTTTGGTGCTATGGCAGCAAATGTTCATTGTGTGTTTATGTGAATTATTACATTCCATCCTCCCGTGTTAGAGAAAATGAAGCAAAAAGACATGAAAGAAATTGCCTTGGATCGTATGATTAGTACTTGGTGAAACTAGGATTTAAATCCAGGCCACTGGGACTTTACAGTCCTGGTTTTTTAATCACAGAACTTTATCACCTCTCAAAGAATATCCATCCCCTGCTTGAGAAAGGATAACATTAACATGCAATGCTCTTGCACAACATACCTCACAGAGGCTGGTCCCCTCACACCAGAAATGGTCCTAACTTTCTTCTCCACCTACCCAAACCCTACTTAACACTCAGGGCCCAACTCATCCCTTACCTCAGTCATCAGGTCTGTGGGAACTGAGTTCTCACTGTTGTATCTTTGGCAGCATCTAGTGCAGGCTGTTGTACATAGCAGGCAGCTGCTGGGTAGTGGAAATCCCCCTGGTTCTTCTGTCAGAAGAGCGGGATGTGAATCTTCACTTTCCCATTTACTGACAGTGTGGTCTGAGATTCTATGACCTCACCTAAAAAAGAAAAAGAATTAAGAAAAATATTTATATCACAGACTTGTTATTCAGATAAAATGAGCTATTGTTTATCAGAGTACTTTGTAAATTAAAGCATTATTTAAATATGAGGGATAATAGGATTGATTCACATAAATTTTTGTGATGCAATTTTTGAGCTAGTCCTGAGGTTGTTGTATGCCATTCAATTTTGTACATGAGCATGTTGGGGTGGATGCCTTACAATGCCACTGAGGAAGGCTAGGAGATCAGGGATTGTTTACCGCGGTAAGAAGAAGGCTGAAGTGAGTTTTCAAAACAAACTCTTAAGTGTTTGTCTACTCAATAGACAATTGTGAGCAACTCCAGAGCCTCTGGCCTCAAATTAGAGCAAAAAGGGATCTGATCCAGACATAAGGAAATGCTTCGAGAATATAAAGACAGCAAAACCTACTATTAAGGGAAATTGTGGAGACAAATAACAGCCACAAATAAGTTACTTCATGCTGCCAAATTGACCAAGGAGAAAAAGAAACATGTTTATTTTTCAAAATGTGGATGTTCTGAAGCAATTATTAAACATCTTTCCTCACTAAATTGTCAATTTCTGGGGGTCTTTATGGTACTATAAATTCAATTCTTTAAAAGAGATTTAAAACATAAGAGACAGCATCTCTTGAGGATAAACAAAAATGAAGAAATTAAAGATAGAACTACGCAAAGATACATATATGTGGATTTCTAGAAAAACTTTTGCGAAGAGAATAAAACCTCTAGGAAATGGTCTCAATGAAATGAAAACCATCCCACATATATCTCTTCTCTTCCCCCCTCAGGAGGATTCCCCTCCCCCATAACAATCAGTCTCTATTATTTGAGCATCCACCACTATTATGCTAAAATACCAACACCCTACTTGGTATAGCCAGAAGTGAGCAGGGCAGGGTGGCCCCTAATACCTATATACATGTTACACAGAACAGGTAAAAACCCTAATGCCAAGGCAGGCAGCTTTTCAGCTGAGATATACTTCGTATTTGTCTTTCAAAAGGATGGGACCATTTCTGTGAGGACTGAAGACTGACAGCAAATGTAACCTGAGTCCTGCTAAAGGTCACTGACAGGGCCTCATGCTCTACAATAGGCTTATCAGGGCCATCTCTTGAACTAATAGTCACTTCCAGGTCTCCTTCATCTTCTTCACTCTTTGCCTTCCTCCCTCCTCCCTTTCAGAGCCGCCCTCCCTCCCGGGTGTGTCCCTCAGTGTGGTTCTCTCTTTTCTTGGGTTTTTCCTGTTGACATCACAAAGCCCTCAGTGTCCTTTGTGGAGTATCTTCATCTAACCTTGAGTCAAAGGCCATTATTGCCTCAAGAAAAAAGGAAATCTCATTTGAATGTCTTCCTTCAACAAGGAGTGTAGTTTTAAAATAAACACTAAAATAATCTGTATTGAAGGAAAATTCAAACTAATGTCATTCCATAATTTTTTTTAAAGATTTATTTATTTATTTATTTATACAAAAGCCTGGGTACAGTCAGAAGCAAGGGAGGGTGAGAGGATTCACCTGAGCCAGAGTGGGGAACAGAACAGGCAGACTGACAAAATACACTGCTGAGGGGAGCAGTGGGCATGACAGAAGAGGTCTGTGCGCCATGTGGGACCTTCGCCAGCCGGCCAGGATAGAACCGGTGCTGCAGAGGCTGCGGACAGCTTCACAGCACTGCACTCAACCACCTGCGCCACCAGGGGAGGCCCTCCATAATTTCTTTAGAAAACCTGCAAGTGAAAAATGTTTCAAACAATGTGGTATCTGCCATGCAGACAGCCCATGTAGTTGACTCATGGTTCTGTGTAGAAGCAGATCATTCAACAAATGCTTCTGTTGACTTTGCCAAAATGATCAATACAGACTTTTGTGTATTCCTGCTTCAGGTCTTATGACATTTCAGCCACTTATTATGTTGAGCAATTGTGTTCCAAGTTCTAAGATCAGCAATTATATGAAAATAAAAATGATCAGTTTTAATTGTAGGAAATATAACTTGTTGACTGCCAAAGGCAAGTTTATTTGTAGAGAATTGCCAAAGTCTCTAAGTAAACATTATACACTTTTTATAGTTGGGTTTACCTAATATGCCAGAGTTTATTTGCAGCTTATTCCAGTTTCTTTAGTATGTCCATAATGCTAAAGCACTACAGGAAACTTGGGGTGAATGAGACTCAAGCTTTGTGCTCCGTGGCAGGAGCGATTCTGAAAACATTGAAGCTGGCTTCTTCACTTTGACCTACAAAGCCTATATCATCTAACTAGACCCTCTCTGACAGCATCTCCATGGACTTTCCTCCTGTCCTCCTATATTTTAGCTACACCAACCTCCTTCCTTTTCCTTAAACTTGCCAAGTAAGTTCCAGTTCAGGGCCTTTGTCCTTATCCCTCTGCCTGGCACTTCCAGATACACAGCTACAGAGCTCTTTATTTTCTTCATTTCAGTCTCTGTTTAGATTTCCCCTTTTCAGGGGCCTCTTGGAGCATCCTACCTATGAGGGCATCCTGTAACTCACCAGCTGCAATCCATGCTTGAATTTTTCTTTAGAGGCCTTACAGATTTTATTTTGTCACAGCTCTATGTCCTTGGTACCTGACACAGTGTCTGGAACATAATTGGTGCTCAGTAAACTCACTAAACTAGTAAATATCAGTACCCATGGGTAGATGGATGTTCAACCTAATGGGGGGACTGGATAGATTCATAGTTAATTACAAGTACTATCGCTGCCAGAATTCTCACCTTCCATCCTTTGATGGTCCCTTTTATGCCCATCCACCCATTATTTAGCATCATGAGGCCTCAGAACTTCCCTTCTGCCACTAGGCTTATCTATTATGAGGTGAGGTGTTTTCCCACTATGGATGAAAAATTAAGCAATTTCTTGGGTAAGGTCCATTTAAAGATTTTAGAAATATTTCTTTTCTAAAAGGATTTATTTTTAAAAAATTTTTTTAAAAAGATTTATTTATTTATTTATACAAGCACTGGGTACAGTCAAAGCGCTGGAGAGTGAAAGAATTCACCGGAGCCACAGCGGGGAGCAGAGCAGGCAGAAGGACCGAAGTACACTGCTGAGGGGAGCAGTGGGCAGCAGGAGAGGTCTGCGCGCCATGTGGGACCCTCCTCTAGTGGCCGGGGAGCAGCCGGGGATCGAACCAGCACTGCAGAGGCTGTGGGCAGCTTCGCAACCCAGCGCTCAACCGCTGTGCCACTGGGGAAGCCCTCTAAAAGGATTTAAATGTAAATGAGGGCCCCATCTTTACAAGCTTTCCACTTAACCAAGTTTTCTATTTTGGGAATACAGAGGATCAGAGTCAAACTTAGTTCCTTCAAATCCTAAGCTCTTATCTGAGTAAATTTAAGCTGCAACCCAGATGTGTTCACAATTTTGTGAGAGTTTTTGGAAACATCCCTATGGCCTGAGTAAGGCCCATAATGTTCTTTCAGGAGAGTCAGCTACATGATTCTGGGGAGAAAAGAGCCAGAGAGTTAGTATTGCTCAAGTGCCTCCTGCATTTTCTGCAGTGGCCTGGAGATTTAGAATTTCACTTAGGCCTCCAGAGAGTTCCTGTTTGTTAGACACTACTTGAGAGAGCAATGAGAATACCAGTAGCTTATGAATTTACCTCTGATAGGAGATGAGGTGGGTGTGTAAAGGGCACCAGGCATAGTATGGAGTCTGCACATTGTTTAACTTATGACCTGTTTGCTCTGAGTTAGCTTCCCAGCCCAGGAAATGCCTGGAAGAGTGAGCGACACCATTACTGTCAGAGACTGATGTGTCCCAGCAGCCTGGGAAGTACTCCTGAAATCCAGATACCAGAGAGGGGGAGCTGTGGAGAGACTGAGAGCAACAAATTCCCTGAATTGTTAACTGCCTGGAGTGAAAGCCCCACTCAGTGATAATTATCTACCTTTGTTTAACTCACTATAAAATAGTCAGCTAGAGATGAGGTGTTAGTACGGGTTCTTTGTAGCATGATACTTGGCTGTTCTCAGATCTGCTGGCAAATCTAATGAAAAGTGGGAGTTAACGAGACTCAATCTGTCTCATGCTTATTGGCTTTCTGGCCAAGGCGGCAGAAGGACCCTGATTTTTCTTGTAACACCTCTAGTACTCCAGGCATTCTATGTCTTGAGTCACTGAGCATATGAATTAGTGTGGACCTGAAGTTGCTATATCAAAGAGCTTATAAAAGACATCACCTTAAATAAAAGAACAGTTATTTATTATTCATGTGGCAGCCCAAAGGTGTCCAACTAGGACTGTCTTTTGCCAAACTCCATTATTAATTGATTGAATTTTAGCCTGAGGTGTAAGTCCTCTGGGTGATATAGCAGGCATTCACATGTTTTGGCCTGATTAAAACCTTTTTGAACAACTTTTTTGAGTTTGGAGAGTTTCCCATTTTCTTACTCCTGGCTCCCCGTGAATAAAGATGATAGCTTGTTTTTCAGCATATCTTGCAGGTAGGACCCAGGTGTGGGATCCAGGCTCTGCTGACCTGATCCACTGTATAAGGAGGAGCTTTCAGAATTAATTTTCTGGAGGCTGGTGACAGTAGAGATATTTGATTTGGGGACAGCAGGGGTACCAGTTTCGGTGTCAGTTATTTAAGCAGAGATAACGCAGAAGAAGGAAGTTTGACTGCTCATAGTCAATTAGAAGTGTTTCCTTCCCAATTTTTGTCTCGGTTTAGATTTTGTTTGCTTTGGATCTTGTAGCCAGATCACAAATAGAAACTGCGTGTTTGTGATTTCCCCCCTAGGCTCTTCCTAGAGGTAAGGATTCTAACTAACTTGGGATAGGGATTTTGGTTAACTTTGTAATTGGTTATGTCTTGGAATTGGTTTCTGTGGGATAAAAGCTCTACTTGTATCTTAGTCATTATGGACAGTGAGTCAATTCAGGACCTTAAATGAGGTTTATTATCTTCAGAGATTAAGGCAGTAGTTTTTGAACAAGT